TACCCTCTCTCTATCTCTCTCTTTTTCTCTCTCTCTCTATCCCTTTATCTATCTACCTACCTACCTAATTACTCTCTCTCTCCCTACCTATCTACTGTATGTCTCTCTCTCTATTTCTCTCTCTCTATCCTCTACCTACCTACCTACCCTCTCTCTATCTCTCTCTTTTTCTCTCTCTCTCTATCCCTTTATCTATCTACCTACCTACCTAATTACTCTCTCTCTCCCTACCTATCTACTGTATGTCTCTCTCTCTATTTCTCTCTCTCTATCCTCTACCTACCTACCTACCCTCTCTCTATCTCTCTCTTTTTCTCTCTCTCTCTATCCCTTTATCTATCTACCTACCTACCTAATTTCTCTCTCTCTCCCTACCTATCTACTGTATGTCTCTCTCTCTATTTCTCTCTCTCTATCATCTACCTACCTACCTACCCTCTCTCTATCTCTCTCTTTTTCTCTCTCTCTCTATCCCTTTATCTATCTACCTACCTACCTAATTACTCTCTCTCTCCCTACCTCCCTACTGTATTCCTCTCTCTTTCTCTCCCTCTCTATCCCTCTATCTATTTACCTACTTTTTAAAAAAAAATGCCTCTTCAAAACCTTGGTATGTCTTATACTCTAGTGCGTCTTATACTTTGAAAAATATGGTAAATGCTGGCAAAGAAGACAGGTTTCTGGCTATGGTCGCAAGATAGTTTATAAATTTTAGTGGGAAATTTATTATATGTTTTGATATTTGATGTTGTGTACAGAATCCTGAAAAAACATTTTCAGTTGTATTGACTTCATGAATACTTGAGATAAAATGACTATATAACAGAAGCCAAATAACATTTTACAACAATAAATGATATATCTCATATATTTTATTATAGGAAAAACCATTGAGCAAATCTCTGCAACATGGAGAAGATCCACAGTTTGATCAAGTAAGTTATATTAGAGACAAGTAAGTTTATCTCCTTTTGATGTCTGCACTATAGTTCCATCATTACTTATATGACTAAAGCAGAAGAATTACAACTTGATTAATCTGCTTTGTTGATATCTTCAATTTATTTTAGTTTTTGTTATTAAGAAAGCATATACTGTACTGTCATTGTAGGTTAGAAAATATAAGTGCAAGACTGAACCTACAATTGCAGAGCCAATTCATCAAGACGTTAAAAACTGGCAGCTTTTACTGAACATACTTAACCTTAAATATTCACTTTAAACCGTTCTCAAGGCTGGATAACATTCTGTTTCAGCTCATTTAAATCTCTTTGCGCTCTGAAAAACTTCAATATGTTTTTACTGTATATTGCTTAATAATACAATCCATTTCTTTCACAACTCGAGACTTTTTGATACCAATTGTAAAGCATGATGATGGCAAAGTAATGATTTGGAGCTGTTTTTCTGCATCAGGATCTGGGCAGCTAACTTTCATAGAAGCCACTATGAATCATTCATTATGGCAGAAGGTGCTTGAGGATAATATGAGACCACCTGTCAGAAAATTGAAGCTCAACCAAAAGTAGACATTATAACATGACAATAACACTAAACATTCTAACTTATCTACAAAGGGATCTCAGGGGTGGGTGGGTGGGGGAAAATGTAGCCTGAGGATTCTGGAATGGTCAAGTCAAAATTCAGATTTTAACCCATCAAGATGGTCTGGCATGTGCTTGAATGTTCCTTGAACATGTTTGAATGTTGAATGTTTATTTTATTTATATGCCGCCCTTTTCCCCCGAAGGGGACTCAGGGCGGTTCACAACTCAAACCA